CTCTTAGCAATCCGAAAACAAGAGATGGATCGGTATGCCGTTATCATTAGATTTCATTTAAATTAGATTTCATTTAATTTACCATGAAAATTTAAATTATTCATCATAAATGTTAAATTTTTTATTCCGTTTATAAAAAAAGGTTGACTTACATTTTTATAGCGCGTGGCAATAAATTTTTTTTCGGTATCTGTATTATTATCTTTTATGATATCGTTGAGCTGTCTTATATAATTTCTAAAGATTATTGTATCATCTTCGTATCCGAGAATGCGCATGAACAAGTGAAATGAATCATAATCCCATCGTTGCGTTGAAGATAGTGAAAAGTATTTTTTTATGCACGGGCCCAATTTCATTTTATTAGATGGTTCTCGTTTCGACATGATTTTTTTTTATATCGATATCTCAACATTTTTTGAAAAAGGAATGGACATGATTTTTTTTCAAGTGATAGCTTGATTAGATGTTCACTTAACATTTTTTTTGAAAAAGGAATAGACATGATTTTTTTCAAGTGATAGCTCGATTAGATGTTCACTCACTACGTACATAGAGATCGTAGCAACTGACATGCAGTTCCCTATTTCTTTTTTAAGAGAAAGACATGGCTTTGCCTGAGAATCTTCTTTTTAGAGAGAATACATACGTAGACATAATGAAAACAGAAAAGAAAATCACTGAAACATAGCAAACATGGTTTTTTTCGAAATAAAAAAAAAGAGGTTACAATGAAAGGGAAAAATTATATTTAAAAAGACAGATTTGGATGATTCATAAGTAGATAAAAAAAAAGGTATCATCATTACATTTGAAACTATGTCAGCAAATTTTGATTCACGTATTATCCCTGTTTTTATCCATTTCATATTTTATATATATTATTATATTTGTCAATTTTGTTTATTCTTGGAAAATCCATTAACTTATAATTCAATTACAACTGACGAGGAACAAAAAAATTCAAGAAAATTGAACTTCTTCAGAAACTATTGAAAGAAAAAGAAATTGAAATTCAAAATTATCAAAAAAAGTTAAATGATCAAAAATCATATGCAGTTGAAGTCAAAAAGGAATTGAAAGTCAAAATTGAATTACTTCAGAAATAATTGAAAGAAAAAGATTTTAATTATCAAAAAAAGTTAAATGATCAAAAATCATATGCAGTTAAAATTCATTTTTGGAATAGAATTGATAACCAGGAATTATCATATATGACATGAGAATAATATTAAGATAAGAATTGATTTAAAACTCGTGCTGGAAATCCTTATTCACCATCTTATTTAAATAGAATTGAATTTAAAAAACAAATAATAATATGCAATATATATGGAATGCCAGGATATAATAAATATAACTCAATCTATCATCCAAAGATTAATAACCTAAAGTAATAATTTTAAAGATAATAAAATATTTTGTTGAAAGATGAGTTTAAAGAATCAAAAAATGGGATTCAGATTCAAATTCATTTGAACTTGTGAAAATTCTTTATGAATTAGCAGTTGATTTTATTGAAGCTTTTCAAAGGGGAATAAACTAAATTCAGTTAATCAATTCCAGATTATACTATATAATAATAATTAATATATTAACTTTTGATTCAGATGAATAATTAAATAGATTTGAAAAATGATTGATAATATCTGTGAATCTGTTAGTAAAATTTTGTTAATTATCTTTTGAATAAGAATGATCTGGATTTTTTACTATATAATAATAATAACCAATATATTAATATCTATACTAATATCAGTTTAGAATGGAAAAATAATATATATGAAAATATTTAATAACAGATAACTGTAATGAACTTATTTTTTGATTCTTCAAACTTGTCATTTAATAATAGGATATTTTAAATTTATTTTTTAAAAATAATAGTTATTAAAGAAATATAAATGAAAATTAGAATCACTTAATAGTTACTTATTTTTAGTTGCAGTATTTTGAAAGTGAAAGTAATATTAATAAATTAAAGATTTGTATCTGTATATATATAGTTCTTTATTATTAGAGTTGAAAATTTTTTGAGTTATTATTAATTTAAATAATGATAATATAAAATAAATTTTAATATATTGAATTATTGATATATTATATAATATTTTATGAATATAAAAAATATTAGTAAAAGATTAAGTTTTGAGAGAAATTTGGTTTAATTTATTTCTTTTAATAATGATATCATGTTGGTTTGAGAATTTATTAATTTTCTTTTAGAATTTTCATTTGTATTTGAATAAGATTAAGATTAAGATTTAGATTTTAAGTATTAGTATAAAAGTATTTTAGTAGAAAGCAAGTAGTTCAAGTTAAAAAGAATATATTTCAAATCTTTATAATGAATATGACTCATTTCAAATACTTTTTGTATTGAAAATAGCAGTTTGAAGTTTATAAATAGCACCAAGTGTGATTATGAACTTTTATAAAGAAAGATATATATAGTATAATTTTTATCAAGATTATATTGAAATTATGTAATTTATATAGTCATATCAGAAAAAGATATAATTGAATCATGATAAAAATAGCTATATTATTTTTGAACTAAAAGAATCAAATGTATTTTAAGATGAACATTAAAACTAAAAATAGAAATAATGAATTAGAATTAAGTTTATATATGATATAATAAAAATACCAAGAGAATTTAGAAAAACTATAAAACTGAATTGATAAAATAATTATTTAGTTAAAAGAATATTTATTTGAAAAGAGTCAATTAAATAGATTATTTGATTTGGATAAATATTAGTTTAAGAATGAATATTTAGCTATATAAATAAAAGATTAAAAAGAATAAATAGAAAAGTTGAGTTATTATAGTATAATAATAAAGTAGTCTAATCAAATTAGTAGATTACTAAAAAAGAAATTAATAGAAAAGAAATATTTGATTTGAATAAATATTAGTTTGAGAATATATATTTAGTTATATGAATAAAAGATTAAAAAGAATAAATAAAAAAGTTAAGTTATTATAATGCAATAATAAAGTAATTTAATCAAATTAGTAGATTTCTAAAAAAGAAATTAATAAAAAAGAAATATTTAGGATAAATATTTAGCTATATGAATAAAAGATTAAAAAAAATAAATAGAAAAGTTGAGTTATTATAATTAAAGATGGTAGTCATAATTACTATATTACAATATTTATATTGTAATTATATATTGCAACTTATTAAAAAATTTAATAAAAATTATAACTTGTATAATAATTTTGATTGAGTTATCTCTCTTTAGATTCTTTTAGCTTAAATCTTTATTTTGTGCTATCTGTATAACAGATTAGCTTTATATTACATTTTCAAGAAAAATATTTTCACTTTAAATATACAGATAATCATTATGTATTTAATATATCTAGATTTAGCACATTATTACTCAGATGATCACTATATGTATCACAATTATTAATTTAGATTATT